TTGTAGTTTATTGGCATCTATTCTTATGTGATAAAACCTTACTTTTTAAAGTTTCTGAACACACTCAATTTTTCTTTAAGAATTTTTTTAGGCAAAAGTCCAAAATACAAATAAAAATCGGTTGATCAAAACATAGTTATTGTGGACAAAATATTTCAGAAACATACCGAAACAGCTTTTTTTTGTACATCCTACATTTTGGCTTTTTACTTGGAATTTTCATTTTGGTGCATCACTAGTTAGTGTCATAAATGTTCTCATCACATACTGCTTTAATTGATAAAACTACTACCGGTTTTGCAAAACTTGAGACTGTTAGTCTTTTAGGCTTTTGTTGTTCTTCGAGAATGAAGTAACCACTTCTTCAAAAGATCAAACTGAATTCAACAGTATCCAGGCATCTAACCACAGAGATCCGCTTAGACAGTATATAACACTGATTAATAGGCTCTTTCACAGCATATCCTGTCATAATGACTGCCGTGAGACTGTAGCATTCTCATAGCTCACTGGTGAGTATCGGAAAACCTGCATTCGTTTAATTCCTGGTCTTCAGCGTAATTGCCACTTGCTTTTCTATAGAGCAAAGCTTTAAAATGCTTGGTAAAAGTATTCGAAGTGAAGCTAAGTATAAAAATAATATTAAGATTTCACTTTGAGTTTTTTGTCCTTCAAGGGATAGTCCCACCAAAATTAAAAAAAAAAAAGCTGTTAATTTACTCGCCCTCTGATTATTCAAGACGTATGCAACATTTTTTTCTTGCAAGAAGATTTTAAGTTAAAACTGAGAGCCATGGTGATTCATATAAATGAAAGTGGAAAAACATTAAGTTGAGTTGCTGGCAAAACATAACTTACAGGCAACACTAAATTAAAACATGATGTTTCTGACTATACCCTGCAGGGACAAGACGCCAACATGACGACATATTAACGTTGTACCGCAACACACCCCCACGTCATGGGGATAATGAATTTTGTTTAGAAATGAAAATCGGGTTGACGTCAGAACCCAACGTCAGGCCACTGTCAATGTCCAGCCTAAAAACAACCTAAAATCAACCAATTATCAACGTCTAATCATGTTCCACCTTGACGTTTTGTGGATGTTACCACTATGACATCAGACGCTGGATTTTGGTCACTTTCTAACACAACCTAAAATCAACCAAATATCAACGTCGTTATTGGATGTCAAAATAACGTTCTTAGATCCTGGCTAGACATTGAATTCTGGTCACTTGACGTCACGATCTAAATCTAACCTAATACTAACATTTTATGATGCTGTGTGCCTGCTAGGTGCATTCAGAAACTGATTTTTACAAGATTACGTTATAACCATCACCTTTGTTATCAGTAGTCTAGCAATAGGCATGGGATGATAACTGGTTCAAGGTTTACCGCGGTTTGGAAAAGTCAAGGTTTTAAAACTGCTTTTATAATTTTCTGTTATATCGGTCCTAAGGTATATGTTCGTTTTTATGTGTTTTTTATTGGTTACCTTCTTGTTGTTTTACGTGTAGTTTTTTAGAGCAACAACTGTATCTCCAGCCACCCGATTCAAATGTTATCATTCCAATGAATGGGTGTTATTAGTGGATATCAGCTGATAGATTTGGGCCAGTAGGGGCCTTCTGCGTCTACTAGTAGGCTAAGAAGGCTGTAATCATCCATCCACATGGTTAATCAGCTATACTTATAGAAAAGACTCCAGATCCAGATCTGTTTTTATATTACTGAGCCAATTGGGTTTAGGGTTGGGATACAGGTAGACGTTAATAAATTACAATTATTGGGAAATTTATTAAATAATATAAATAATTCTCGTTCACTTCTCGGATGGATGATTACAGCCTTCTGAGTCTACTAGTAGGCGCAGAAGGCCCCTACTGGCCCATATCTATCATCTGATAATCACTGATAATGCCCATTTAATCGAGGGATAACATTCGAATCGGCTGCACCAGGAGAAAAGGACCCTCAACATTAAAAGCTACTGGTGTGAGCCAACAATACAGCAAACATTTAAAAAACAAACCTCTTATGCATCTACATCCAAGCCTGCTATAGACCTGAATGGTGCAGTGGCTAACTTTATATCCACAGAACAGAAAGCTATCCAAAGATGCCTTTTTAAGTTGTAAAGAATTCTGTGTTTTTGAATCTAATGAAGATGGCAGAAGTCAATGATTTATTTTAATGATTTAGCCAAACATGCTTGCTGTTTCAAAGTATTTAAATGTTTATTATATATTGTGTTCAATTGGGAAAAAAATTGTTTTTTTACCCAGACATTTAAAAATATATATATATTTTAAAGCAGTAATCATATCCCATGACATTGTGATGTTTTTATCCAGGGTTATCATACTGTCAGAATCTTATACTGGAATATTTATTTCTGGCATTCAAGCTTCTTGTTTCCAGATTTAATTTTGCCTGCATTTTATGAACACCAATGACTACAGTTTCTTCCTTATTAGCCTACTTAAGAAGAAAAAGAAAAAGCCACCCACATCTTGGATAGCCTGACGGTGAATTAATAAACAGCCAATTTTCTTTTTTACAAACTCTCCTTTCAATGTTACACCAGCTGTTTCTTTGTAATACCGTATAATAACTCTAACCGCCACAGTATTAGGATCAAATATGGGTCACTGGAGCAGAACCAAGGACTTCGAAGAAAATGCTTGACTTTATTCCATGATCAAAATCCCCACTGTTATCTCAAGCTTCTTATATAACAGCAGGGTCTTGTGAAAGCCTCAAAAGACTTACTGTATTTACATGGTTCATCGTCATCATCATATGTAAAAACAAAGAGACACTGTTTACGCCTTTTTAATAAAAATAGGAGCCGTCACTGAATATTTTAATTTATTTATTTCAAAAAGGCCTAAAAGGTAGTGTTGACTCGGTATCAGATGACTGTTGGGAGAGTTTACTCAGTCGTCTTAACTTTCACTGCAAACAGCTCTTATGTAATCAAAAGAGATACTGGATAAACACACACATTTTAAAAAACAGCCAGGTAAAGACATGGGTCAAGTGATATTTCAATCTTAAGTAGCACATTTACTTTATATGCAAAAAAATATAAATTGAATAAAATTTGATGGTTCAGTCTCATGTGTTCCAGTGTATAAAAAATCCCACTTCCTGGGAAACTAGCATTTGTCACGATCACCAACAATCTAACCCTCATAGATCGCTGGAGAACATTCCCAATGACTACAACTCTGTCTCTATATGAACCACAAGTCCTGTCATGCACCACACATACACACCTACTCCAAGTCTTCATTGATTACACTCACACAGCTGATGCTCCTCATGTACTCGTTACACTTACATATATACAGCTTGCTTTGACACTCACATGTCTGAGTCTTGTTTGGTTAACACCCTTTAACATTACAAAGCATTCCCTGATATAGTTTCCATGTGCTTTGACCCTTGCTTTGTTTTATCGTTTACCCTGTCTGCCACCTGTCTGTTACCTGACCATCTGCCTGTTACCTGACGATGCCTCCGGATTTCCTTGTTTGTACCGCTTGGTGACTGTTTTTGATTATTGCCTGTCTGACCAAAATTTTTCATAAAACCTGCATAAGGATCCTCATTTCATTGTCACTTGACTCCCTTGTGGTTACAGCATGATCCAAGAATAATACAAATGACTGTTTTTGTAAGTTGAGAAAACAGTTATATCTTTCCATATTAAATACACAGAGTAGCAGACAATATCTGTCATGCTGTCTTTTGTTTGGAGGCAGTGTCTGATATTTGAGAAGATGATTGCATTTTGGAAGGTAGCTTTACAAAATCATTCAGAGGATGGACTGGCAAAGAAATTCCTTAATTTATATCAAAATATTCATATGTTTTTGCTTCAAGAGATAATGTGATTGGATAACCAGACTAACCATTGTCAATTTATTTCATCCCACAAATAGGATGGTGTGAGATGAAATTAATTGACAATGGTTAGTCTGGTTATCCAATCACGTTATCTCTTGAAGCAAAAACACATGCATATTTTGATGTAAATTAAGGAATTTCTTTGCCAATCCCTTATTTATTTATTTTTTGTTTTAAAGACATCTAAAATATTTTTGTTTGTTCAAAAGACATCTAAAATACATCCAAACCTAGACACCTAGTCTTTGCTAAAAGTAGGCTAAATTTTACTGTCAGTGAAAATCAAATAGACGTCTAATAATAGTCCAGAACTAGACAAGTCATACAATAGACAGATTAGACAGAATACATTCATTCCTGTCTACTTGATGACTAGTCTATTTTTGGACTGTTATTAGACATCTATTACATTTTGACATCAATATTAGCCTTGTTTTAGCCATGACGTCTATGTTTGGACATCAAAAGGTGGGATCTAAGTTTATGTGCATATCCTTTTAACTAATTACAAATTTGAATGCATAAATATGCATCTATTTATGCACACATAGACCAATTTCTTTATATAAACAATAACACACATAGTTAACATTCAATTTGCGGACTAGGGCCAAGTCGGACCCATCACTCTGGTGCCCCGGGCTCTTGCAATTAGTTAGAAAAATTTCAAATTGAACCAAAACAAATCATTACAATTGGCTTAAGATTGACAAGCAAATTCGGAACACTACAACCAGCAGAACCTGGGAAGTTTAAACAAATAATAAAAAAGTATTTGCACTTAATTTATTTGTACATAATCTCATTTTATTATTATTATTCATTTATTATTTGTGTATTTGCACAGTCACTGTCAATTAGTTGCACTGTGGAAATTTCTTTCATGAAAACAAGTTTCACGTCTGTGTAAACATACCTAGCAATTCAGATTCTGATTATTATGCATATTTTTGCATTCACGTGCATCTTGCAGTTTCCACTGAGTGTTTCTTTTAATGCAATACCCTAAAATGTGCATTCAAATAGCTGGATGGAAGCACAGCTGCTGTAATGTACCAACACAAAGGCTCTCTTACTTGAATTGAGGGTCTTTTGTGTAGCGTGTCTTTGCCAGGAACCTCTCAGCTAGTTTCTCTAGGTTGCGGGAGTAGTCCATCTCAATCTCTGCCTTCTTGCGGAAGAAGTCCTGCAGGTCTTGCAGGAGCTGCACACGGAGCTCACATTGCTGGTCCAAACACTTAAGCTGCTCCACCAACTGAGCTCGGATCTCTGCCAATCACAAAAGGAGAAGAAGACACTGAGTGATTACAATACTTTAACGTGGATATGGTGGATAAAGGTGCTTAGAATCATTTGAGAGTTTTGCAAAACTAGCAAAGCACATTAGATGTTCATTGTCAAAATCTACACTTCATAATTGTTGGAAAAGCTGAATTTTGCAGACCATTACTCCAGTGTCTTAAATGTTCTTGAGTGAGAAGTTATTTCAATATGCTAGTTTGGTGCTCAAGAAACATTTATTATTATTTGACTGATTAAAATAATATAGTTATATTTATTTAAGTTGTCACTATTATAGTTTTAAAATTAATGAAAAAAAAATTAAAATATCTGTTTAAGGTTTTAGCTTGTTATTATTATCTTCCCCAAACATATTGAAACAACATATGTCTACTAAATGGTTCCAAAAACCATAAAATATACAATCAGCAAGGGTCATATGTGATGATTCCTTATAACTCGTGTGTCTTTATCCTAAGTTACAATTTTCTATCATAAATGAAGTATGCCTCATTTTAAGTCCCCAAAATGTGATCAGTAAGTGTCAAAGATTTTCCTGTAATTTGAAATCAAAGCAGTTAATGTATTCCTCTTAATGTGGGAAATGATTTTCTTTAGAAATTGCACAAAATAAAAAGAGAAGAAGAGAAACAGCTGGTAAATCTCCTCTATGAGTCAAAGTGCATTTCAAGGCACACTTAGCAAATGCAGGAATTCTGCAGAAGTCTATTTTTTTCTATTATTATGCAATGGAAACTCATTTTACATTAAACATCATGATCATTCTGTGATCTAGTTAGAAAAAAAACTTTATCCTCATTTCACAATCCTGTCTATGCTGCTTGAGCCTAGTTCCTCGTTCCCCAAAACAAAGACAAAAATAGCTGTCAGCGAGACATTTCAGTCTTCTATGCAAAAAAGAGCAAGTTTTACAAGTTTTCATGAATTAATTTATTACCACAAACTTGCACAACAACACACAGATATGGTCAGGAGATGTTTTAAACCGAGGTCCGTCACACACTCAGACACACACACATTTATCCAAGCTAATCACTCTTCATGTCCGCTGCATCTCTCTTTCTCTCTGCCCAACATCCGTCGAGCACTCAAGCATGTCTCCAAATTAATTTACTCTCCTCTACCCCGACAGCCTATTGAAATATTGAATTATAATGTTTACGTGAGCCCTTTGGGAACTCTGGATCTATGGATGCACCTACTTTTCCTGCATACTAAAGTGCCAATTAAAATAAAAAAATATGAAATTTAGCAGAGCCATTTAATTTTGTATGATTTGTGGCAGCAATACAGAAACCTTCCCTCAAGCAGCATTTACAGTGCATTATTGCTCAAAAGTTTCAGAACAGTACGATTTTAATAAAAACGTTTTAAAAGCTCAGCTCATCATTAATGTATTTATTTGATCCGAAAAACAGTATAAACGGTTATGTGTGGTTATTCATTTTATATATTCTATAAACCCCATACATAAAAAAGTTATACAAAACAATTTTGTTACATAGATATTTAAAATAATTTGTATAATATACTAATACATTTTATAACTAAATTTAAACCAACTTTTCTTAAATGTATGCATGCAAGTGCGTATTTTTTATATACATAATAAATATACATATCACACACACACACACACTGACACACACACTGACACACACACACACACACACACACACACACACACACACACACACACACACACACACACACACACACTCATATTATGCCAAAACAATCTTTTATTTTGGACTGGATTTAATTTTGCTCCGCATTATTTAAAATATAATTAATTCCTGTAATTTAAAAAAGAATTTTCAGTATTATTAGTGAAACATGCTCCTTCAGAAATGATTATAATTTGATCATTTGAGCTCAAGAAACATATTTTTATTTTAAAAATTGGATGGAAACTGATCCACTATCACTCAAAGGTACAATTAAAGAATGTACTTTTGTTCATTAACGCCACTTTAAATTCCTCTATATTGACAGAAAAGACATTTAAATGTCAGATAAATAGTGTATTTCTGAACTTTCTATTCACTGGAAAATAAAAAAAAGTAAACTGTATCAGTTTCCACAGAGCTATGAAACAGGAAACAAAAATGTATAATTTTAAAAGTCATCATTAATAATCAAGTACCAATAATAAATTATCATAACAGAACAGCAAATTAACATATTATAATGATTTCTAAAAGATCGTGTAACACTTAAGACTAAACTAATCTTAGAATCACAGGAATAAATGACATTATAAAACATACCGGAATCAAAAACATTAAATAATACTTCACAATAATACTTAACCATCAGTTATGATTGTTTACAGCTCCAAGATCACATTACATTTGATGTTTTAATGCCAAGTCTTGAGTTAGCAGTCAAACCAGTGTTACGGGTGATCAAAAACAAACAAACTGAGAATCAACAGTACCTTTGCATTTCCTGCTATAGAGAAATCGGATGACTTTTGCCTCCATATGTACTAACTATCCCAGAGAGAGAAGCCCGGTGCGGGTCTGACAGTCTCGGGGCGATGAAACCCAACTGTCCCGACTCTATTGTGCTTTTGCGCTGAGAGCACACTTTCAGTCTGACATCACACAGAAGTGGGATTTCCACATCCACAGAGTCAAACACAACAAAGTCACTCCAGTACCAACTGTATGGGCTTTACTCACTTCATGTGACTCGCTGAGATGATTTTTTTTTTTTTACATGACTGTATCTTAAGTCTGCTTAAATAACTACCCAGGGTTTCTTTCTGACATGCCAACATGTGTCAGTACCAATGACACGTGTAATTATCTGCCCTCTGTATAATTTATGATGGTAGGAGGAAATGGGACTGGTGACGCATCGAAATGCCGAAGCTCTTTAAAGGAGCCCTGTAATTTTAGTAAAAAAGCAAAGCGTCTACAAACACGCACAGGCAGAGTAGGGTCAGTGACACAGGCAGGCATCAAGCATTCATGGACTTAATAGTGCAGTTATCAGCTTAGTGTTTGATATTTACTGAGATGAACATGTTGACACAAAGGAATGTGTGTTTTGATGTTTGAATGGGAATGCTTTAAAATGAAAAAAAAAAAAAAATAAGGGTAAATTAAGTACATTGGCTTTTCAAATTGTGAAAGAAAAAAATGACATATAAATGAAAATAAAAACAAAATTTACAGCATTTTTTAAAATACAAACATTGAAAATTTAATTAATTAATAAAAAAATAAAACATAAAATATAACGAATTTATGAGTAAAATACAAACTAAATGCCTCAAAATAAGTATTAAATAAAAAATAAATAGCAAAAACTAATAGTATTAAATAAAAAATATATACCAATGAATAAATATAAAAAAATAGATATACATACATATTAAACACTAAATATCAAGTCAAATAAATAGAAATAAGAATAATAATAAAATATTTATAAATATTATTATATTTGTTATAAATTAATAATAATTGAAAATGAATATAAAATAATAATTTAACAAAATTGTATTAAAATAAAAAGACTTAATAAATAAAACTAAAGTTATAAAATAATAAAACAATACATAAAAAATTAAAAATAAATCATTAATAATAAAAATGTGTACAATAAAACAAATTAGTATATTAAAAATACTATAAAACATAACATCTAATAAACAAACTAAACATTCTTTCATTCTGCTCTCTAAATACTGGTTAGAAATCCTAATTATATCTCAATTACTTTACATTTGACATTTTCCATTCATCACAGTAGAAGTAATTCATTAAATCATGCAAAAGGAGAATGATAACTAGCATTTATCTATAAATGTGCTGTATAGCTCATTTTTGGCTGATTCACATCTATCTAAATTACAGTAATAGAGTGACGCTCAACTTATTGTAGCAGTATGTGTTTATTCATGTCTATGTGCAAACCAAACCGTCTCTGCCAGGCCTTGACAAAATGTTAAGTGAAGGACATGAACCAACAGGGAACCATTTCAGACTATAAAAATTAGGCATGGATCTAATGACAAGCAAGACTATACTAGATAAGTCAAACATAATCTACAAGTATAATTTAAACAGTTTCTGCTAAATGCAATACAAGCTAGAACAAGCATATGACTTACTAAAAGTGACAGTCACTCCTCTATATGTAGAGAATAAAATGGCACAGTATAATCTAACCACATTCACAAGGAAACTCAAGTCAGATGTTGTGAATTTGTCTCAAGGGCTCATAAAATGTTTCCTAAAAGCCTGAGAAATGCTGTGCTACCAATTCTCTGGCCATCCTGCTGCTCTACAAAATCCTTAAAGTGGCACACTACAGGCAAAAACACAGTTCAATTTCAAGGTAAATGTCAATTTTGGGCTTGTCAGACACTGTCTTTATAGTCTAATGTCTAAAAAACACATTTCGATGTCTCATCTCCTGTCAAGCTTAATCATTTTTGTCTATACATTCAAATTCATATAACTGTAATGTATTTATATATTGCATTTATATATTATCATATTTTTGTCTCCAGCACTAAATTATAAATTTCAACTTTTTTAAAAATTTAAATCATTTATTCATTTATTTTCTTTTCGGCTTAGTCTCTTTATTAATCTGGGGTTGCCACAGCGGAATGAACTGCCAACTTATCTAGCATATGTTTCTACGCAGCGGATGCCCTTCCAGCTGCAACCCATCTCTGGGAAATATCCATACACACTCATACACTACGGACAATTTAGCTTACCCAATTCACCTGTACTGCATGTCTTTGGCCTGTGGGGGAAACCGGAGCACCCGGAGGAAACCCACACGAAGGCAGGGAGAACATGCAAACTCCACACAGAAACGCCAACTGACCCAACTGAACCAACCCAACCCAAGCATTACCAACTGCGCCACTGCGTCGCTCAACAGCACTTACAAACAACAAACTTCACAGTTTTATAGACCATTTTGAAGGATGTAAA